TATAACTTAAAGTGAGGTTATTGGATGTATCTTTTTTTTTTCTCTCTCTCTATTTTTATAGCATTTGTGTTTTTCAGAGAGTTTTCATGTATTAGTCAGAGATAGCATGCCTTTTTGACTAGTCATTGAGAATTTGGTTGGAAGACCTTCACTGAAGTCATTGTGTGTGAATTTTTCCTTCTCCCTCAACCTTGAGGCTAATGGAAATTTATATCCCCGCAGGGACCGACTCTTGTCATGCCAGTTTTCTCTTAAATGAGGTGTGACCTCTGATTAGACCCCAGCCAGCCGGACAGACCTCTTACATTTGTTCTGCTGATACAGGACCATCAGCAAGCATTTGGAAATTGGATTTGCATATTGCGAAAGATGTTGCGGCATTAAGAATGATTGTTTATGGTGTAGATTTAGGCTGTCTGGAGGATCTTGCACTTTTATTACCAGGAGAATCACTGAGCATTTTAATGTCTGTTCATTTCATATGTGTGTGGATTTGGACTTTTTCCCACACTCTCAATAGTTTTTGTACACTAAAAATGCCCAACTCCTAATTTTTTGGCCTTTTTCTAAAATGTCATTAACTTTTCCAACAAATTGCGTAATGAAATTATGTATTGCGCATGTTGTGGAAATGGCATTTTTTTAAAAAACATTTTGTTAGCTAAATAATAAAATAAAATAAATTAAACATACTTAAAAAAAATACACACTTTTTAGATAATGTGACTAAATTACAACTATATTGAAAATGATGCAAATACAAACATAGGCAAAAATACTAATATTAACATTGATTTTTGTCCGAAAAAAATTATCTTATGTTTAAGATTACATATATCTAGGGATATGCCGGTATCAAATTTTCATGTTGCGATTAATTGCTAATGCTTTTATTACGGTATACGGTATTATCACGATATTGAAATTAAGTTTAAAAAAAGTGCTGCCATAATACAGTATAACAGGTCCGCCATGTGCTTCACGTCCGCGCTTGTTTACATCAGAGTGCACGAGCCTCTTTCACGAAGCATACAGCGCTGTTGTGCATTTTGACCAGTTTATGGGAAAAGTATTCTTAAAATGCATTCAAAATTCTGAATAATTTGTAATATATAATTATTCACGGTATTTAGAAGTGCCCACGATAACAATATCGTGCACATTCATTACCGTGATATATCGCATTACCGAATACCGGCACAAATCTAATATCTATCATGTTTTCTTTCAAACATGGTCTTCATTGACAGGCTTGTCTACTTGGTAATTAGTTTTAACAAAAATAAACATTTTGGACATAAACGTGCCTGTAGTTGAAGAAACAACCATATTTCCTGGAGGAAACATTACAGAAAAGCTCTTTTGCTTTCTTGGATTTATCAGTAAGTGATTTAAAGTGTAGTTCATATTCTTATACAAACACACACTCATGCGCACATTCACACGAGCTTCCTTCCTTGAGCCATCAGCTGTGACTGGTTGACCTTGCTCTTTTTCCTTTAGACTCCGCATGGTAAACGGTGCAGAACTGCTCTTGGCATTTGTAGGAGGCTTTTAAGTTTGCTCACGGGCGTGTTGAAACTATGACGATTGTTTCCAAGGAGCTGGGTACAGGAAGAGAGAAGGTAGGTCATCACTGTCATGCTGCTCTTTGGCGCAGAGGCTGAGATGAATTGAGAAAGCTGTTAAAGTGACGCAAAAAGACCTTCCTGCTTCTTTAGAGGTGCTTTAATGATTCAGACATTGTTCAGACACATTTACCTCCTTTTATACTTAAGAGTGACCTCCACCGTAACTTCAGGAAGTAGTCTGGGCATATCCTGTGTTTTATAAGACCAAAGCACTTAAAGTGGCATGCTAATAGTGTGAAGGGTTTAAAGATATAAAGGGATTGTTCACCCAAAATCGAATATTCTGTCATCATTTACTCATCCACATGTCATTCCAAATCTGTATGACTTTCTTTCTTCTGTGGAACTGACCTCTATCCATAAATCTGCTGACACATCTTAGTAGAGACCTGCTTACTGTGGCAGAAAACTCTGACTGTGAACCTTTAAGGTCTTTTAAATGAGATTTTAATCCAAAGACAAGACCATAATTTGAGGCTGAGTAAGATCCTAATTGAGTTTTGTGGTCATTTTCTTTGGCTCTTGATTTTAAATGCCAGTTTATCCTAAATTATTTTTTTGTTGTTGTTTTTTTGCCTTGGACAGAAACTTGTTTACTTATGGGAAGTACATACCTCACAAATGATGTATGATGAAGATGAAATATGTACTAAGCCAGTACACGGCTGTCGGGAAATATAGTACCATAAAATTGTGTCTTGATGCCGTATCAAAGAACCATCACAAGCCAAAACTCTTGCATATGCTGAGGGTTGTGGACAATATTAACCCTGAAGACTGTGACATACTATTTTCTATGTGTTTTATTTTACTATTTTCTGATTTAGGACATACAAATCCTAAATCCTTGGACAGATACTGTATAACTGAGATTCAAAATTGACATAATCGAGTCTGTTTTTTCCATACCGACAAAATAGCAAAAATAACAACCTAGGATTACTGGAAATGTGTGCCTTTTCCTACTCTAAAAACATACCAGTTTTGAGCTGAAATGAACACTAGAGGCAGCAAAAGGTCTACAACTTTTATGTCTTTTCTTCCTTTTCACACATATTATGAGCAGATTATCAATTAATAAAAGCTTTTTTTTGTGTGTGGTTTGTTGCACAATACTATGTTATAACCTTAAAGTGCCCCTATTATGAATTTTTGAAAATTACCTTTCATGCAGTGTGTAACACAGCTCTAAGTGAATGAAAACATCCTGCAATGTTTTAAATCTGAAAGTGCACCGTGTATAAAGTTATTGTCTCTCAAAAGAGTCGACTTTGATTCATTTAAACGAGTCGTTTTTAAAACGAATCCCAAGCCATTTCATGTTGACGTCAATAACCAATAACCGCAGTTTAACGTCACACAAAGGAGGGCTTTGGAAAAATGAATTGTTGAGTGAATCGTTTGGGAGTCGTTGAGCAAATAAGGTAAAAATAAATGCATATTATAAGAAAATTAAAGTGTTTTTTGACCTTGCATGCATGTCAACCTGTTGTTGGGGACTCCTAAAACCAAAATATGAACCTTTAATAACCCATAATAGGGGCACTTTAAAACACTTTGACTATTGTGCATGATTTGTAAACTCCCATTTTTAACATTTGTATCGCATAACCAGCTCCATATGTATGGCATTTCTAACATAATAAACTTGCTCGGTTTCTCACCTGGTACAGCATTGTACGAGTCACAATAAAAGAGCTCAGCGCATCGTAGAAGTATACTAAAGGTTTACTCATGTTTGCATTTGTTAATGCTAGGTTTAGTGTAGGCCGTACGTTATTTTCAAACGTAAACAGAACATTTTATTTCCCTACTGCTTTTATTTGTACAACAACCAATGTAATAAAACTTTGCCAGATTCATGTCCATTTGTTTCAAATGAACTGAACAGGGTTTTAGCGCCTCTCACTAGACATTTCACTTTTAAAGTGTCGCAAAGCGTGCAAGCAGCAATGTAACAGAATTTTGTGGCAATGCCACCACAGATGTGTTTTTCCATTGATCCATTGTTTTCACTTTCAAACGGGTATTCTGAACTTCTCTGTGTCTGCCATTGGTCACCATTGTCCTTCCTCAAACTCACACCAGTAGGGTCTGGATTCTTATAGAGCAATGTTTTGATAGCACCACAGTGTGAGATTCAACCTAATAGTTTAGTTAAAGCTGTCTGTGCATATTAAACTGCGATAGGATAGGAAGTATTTTAACTTCGGAAAATTGCATGCATCACCTTTGTTTTTGGAAAATTTGTTTATTGCAGACCATCATTTGCTTCTTCATTAAGTATGACCATGCAATTTTTCTAGAGGGGCTGAAGGAGTGAGTTCCTGAGAGGAGTGGAATGCTAGGAGCGCTCTTAATTTTACTGTGTTTGGCACATGCATTCTCCTCAGAGAGCCCTGCAAATGTCAGCGATGGGATGATCTAGAAGTTTCCAGCCTTTTTTGTGGTTTCTTTTTTCTTGTGTGAGAAGTTACAGAGGAGACTGAGAAACAAAAGAGAGCAAGAAAGGGTGATCTGGAGGTTAGCGCTGCTCATTGATGCAGCGGTTAATGTCATGGTTTGTCAAGCGATCGCAGTATCTGACCACATCTGTGCTTTCAGGCCTCTGTGTGTCACATTTTCAGCTGCTTCTCTTTAGGCTTGCCGCGATAGACAGTGCTGACGGTGATAAGGGTGTTAAACGGTGTTAAGCCGAAACACCGGTTACGTCACTTGCCCACCGCTTCACCGACCCCCACCGTCGTTTTGATTTTTTATAGTAATAAAAATAATTTAGTTCAGTAAAAGAACAGACACTACAATTAAAAACTGAACGCGGCTGCTCAATGCCCTTTTAAGCTATTTAAAAGCGAAGGAAAAGAGGGAAAAATTCAAACGAACTAAAAACGAACAATTGCTTTACTCCGCATTGCCACTATTTGAAAGTGAAAGTAAAATGCGCACGCCGCTTTTACAAGCTATTTAAAAGTTGAGGAAAAGAGGGAACGCCCCCGGCCCCGGGGTGACACAATTTCCTCACCATCACAACCCTACTTCTCTTCTGCTATTTGGCCAGAGACGAGTAGATTGAAAAGGAAAAGTTACTTATATGTTCGGATTCTTGAAGCGTTCGTATTGATCTAATTTTGAGGCTTCACCACATCAGCAAACTTTCCACTAGTCACACACACACACACACAGTGTTGGAAGTCTGAGTTGGCTTTGCTCAGTAGTTATTACTCAGTCCAGAACTTTTTGCGTCTCTCTGAAAAGGTGCTGGCAATATTTTCCAGCTACATCCACATCAGGTTCATTTAGACCAACTTTAGGCTTAGCCTGGATCCAGATATTAAAGAATAAGTGAAAGAGAGAGTGGAGATCAAGAACCACTTGGCTGTAAGAGGAAGTAATTAATGCAGGATGTTATTTTGATGGCTATTGTATGTGGTTACATTTCTGCTCATGAGTCATTTCAGGTTGAATTCCTATTAGAGTTGTGAGCTATATGTTATCAAAGGACCTCTCGCTTGCTCACTTTCTCTTTTTTGCTCTCTCTCCATCTGCAGCTGCTTTGAGGACCAGTAGGAGTCACTGTTCTACATGAGTCTTAACCTTTTTCCATCAGGTGAAGATATTACAGTTTGACAAACCTGTTTTTGAGATCAGAGCTCTGTAATATATGATTCACTGTGGTCTATGGCCACTCTGAACTACTTAAATGCAAGTAGCTTTTTCATTTCACTTCTATTACAGTATTACTGTACATTATGATGCTGTGCAATCATTCAGCCTCATTCTTCTTCATTCAAACATGTCTGCTTGTGTTGTAGCGTTGGTTATTAACCGGGCAGTGGAAATTTGCGTAGGCCCCCAAGTGGGTCCCAGCCCTCTGGTTGAGGACCACTAAAGACAGGCGTGTGACATCACAATACAATAAATATGTCTTTGTTCAGAACTGAAAATGTTTCCAGAACTCTGTTTCATGTTGGTTTAAGGAAATAAAAGAATAGAAAAGAAAAGAAAAATTCTAAAAAAAAAAAGAATAGGTGCATTTTGGTACAGAAGGAGTTTCTGTGAGGTCAGTCTTTTGTAAGTCACAAAAATCATGAGTAACCACTGAAGTAGATTTGTTGTGGTAGAAATTTAAATTTTGACATTCCTTTAACTCCCCCCACGTGTGCGTCCCTCAGGACCATGACACACACACACTGCCCCATGAGGCGCCTGCACGCTTAATTTGAAATGAACTTTACTGTGGCGGCTTTGAAATGCTAATAGCTAGAGTTTATTTTCCTTTGGTCACCTTTCCCTCGTTTCACACAAACAGTAGGAGTTTACATAGTTTTGATGCATGCTGAATCTCTGCGTATGTGTATCTGTGGATGTTTTCTCTTCGGTCAGCAGTTCTATATTAACTCTTTGATTTGAAGCTTCACTTTGTTTTTTTCTCCCACAGAAAGGGTTGATGCTGAGTTCACTTAGTAGTTTTTGCCTTGGCTTAGATCAGTGGTTTTAAACTGGTTTTGCTTCAGGACCTAGATTTAACAGTGGGAATTGAAATGTTTTTTTATTTTATTTTATTTTCATAACCCATACAGAACCAACCTGCCATTTCTGGTCACAACGTATCAGTTGAGAACCACTGGCCTAAAATAGATCTCCAGTCCGGGCTAAGGGAGACGGTTTGAAATGAAAAGCAGTCTAGATGGAGCAGTTTTCCTACTAAATCATCTTCGAATCCTTGTTCACACGTGTCCTCCTCAGGCTCTCGGTGCTGGAGAGAACAAAAGAGCTGCTGTGTGGTGCGGAAGCGAGGTGGTTTCTCATCTGCATGAAGCATGCTGCATTGCTGGACGCATGGTGACAAACAGGCCTTTGACTGCGTCTGACTCTGTTTTCTCTAACGACCTCCTCACCATGACTCTACATTCCCAACAGCTCTGGAAAACAGGGCGGCAGCCGCCAACTGAGGTTTACTGCTTAATCAGTGTTTCCCATGTATCAGGTAAAAAAAAAAAGATTGCCTGGATTTTTTGTGCTCTTTTAATGCAGTTTAGCATGTTGGTATGTAAATTTTAGATTGGGGATGTTCATTTTGGTTATTTTTCCTAACCGACAACCGACGCTCATTAACCGATTATTAACCGTTAACCGACAAGATTATTTTAAATTAGAATTTAATTAAATTAGAAAGGATAAGTGTCTGTGAACAGTTAAAAATACTAACATTTGTTTCCCGGGGATTAATTATACATGCGCAAAAAGCAGCAAACAACAGAACATGAGGATTCACATGGTCATATCACATCATGCACCTGCAGCGCTTCTGGTGATGTTATGCGAAACATTTTGTTTTACGTTGATATTGGAACGCGAGTGAAGTAGGCTACATAATAAATAATATTTTGGCATTCACTATGTTTACAGTGTTTATTATAATGTTTGTAAACATTTCGCGTCGGCATTAGGCCTATTTCTGAAAGAAAAAATTTTCTTCTAAAAAAACACATTTTTTTAATATAAAATAGGGATGTTTAACCATGCAGCAAACCTTTTTAAATATTTTGATAAATTACTGAAAAAAAATTAATAAATGACTTTTTAAACCGTTTAACTGATTGTATTAATCGTTCAAAAATTATTACGGTCGGTTAACGGTTAACCGGTTAAAATGAACATCCCTATTTTAGGGATTATTTGTTTATGTAACATTTGGCAGACTGTCATGAAGCTTATCACAATATATCAGATTCAGTCTTTTCAGGATTTTCTTAGACTTTGTGTTGGCTGTCATGTCTTCTGTGTGTTACTAGGGATATAAAAGTTAAGTAAGTATAAGAGTTTGTGCTTAAAGTTCTAGAAACAACTAAAGTAAGCCATGCTTAGGTTGATTGTCAGGTCGTGGCATATTTATTTATTTATTTAAAGGTGCATCGATATATGTCTCGCTTAGTTAACACACCCGATTCACATAACCAGCTCGTTAGAAGTGAGCTACGTGCATGAAGTGTGTTCCGATCGATATGATTCCTACACAGTGTTCATTGCTCCCTACTCCCTGAGCAGGGGAAATCCGTTTAAGTTCACTTCAGAACATGGGCTGGAATTGGGAACCGCTGATGTAGCCTAGTAATGTTGTCTCTTGTATTCTGGTCTGTGAGCATATATGCATTCAGGGGGCGTGGCTTTGGACGGCGATTGCAGGGAGGGTGGGATGTTCGCTTTCAGTGCTATCAGACTAAAGTTAGCATTTTCCAAGATCTCCTACTGCACCTTTAAGTATCAGGAACAAATATTGATGTTTTTCACTACACAAGAGCGAGAATGGCAGACAAACATCAACAACCCGATCTACTTTCCTGGTATTGCAGTACATTTAAAGTTTTCTCACCGGTGAATGACTCATGATGTAGCCCAGCGGTTCTCGATCCCAGTCCTCGCGCCCCCCCGCTCTACATATTTTGCATGTCTCGCTTAGTTAACACACCCGATTCACATAACCAGCTCGTTAGAAGTGAGCTACGTGCATGAAGTGTGTTCCGATCGATATGATTCCTACACAGTGTTCATTGCTCCCTACTCCCTGAGCAGGGGAAATCCGTTTAAGTTCACTTCAGAACATGGGCTGGAATTGGGAACCGCTGATGTAGCCTAGTAATGTTGTCTCTTGTATTCTGGTCTGTGAGCATATATGCATTCAGGGGGCGTGGCTTTGGACGGCGATTGCAGGGAGGGTGGGATGTTCGCTTTCAGTGCTATCAGGCTAAAGTTAGCATTTTCCAAGATCTCCTACTGCACCTTTAAGTATCAGGAACAAATATTGATGTTTTTCACTACACAATTTGTTTTGTATGTTTTTCACTACGATATGTTAGTAATTTGCAGTAATTACAAAGTTTTACAAATGTAATTTAACTCTGTGAGCAAATTTAGTCAAAATTATATAGCTAGTGGTCAACCGATATATCGCCAAGGCCGATATTTGGCATTTTTTTTCAAATATCGGCATCGGCCGATAAGTTTTTCTGTTTGGCCGATGTGTTCGAGGCGGAACTTTTATTTTGACAGCGCGCCAGACTTTTATTTTGACGGCGCTGAGAACACAGCGCCTAAGCACACAGTGCTCACATTCTCCCTTTTGATTTGAATGAGTGTTACCTTGGCTTTATTTGAAAAAATATGATTCCCAAATCCCAATGCACACAAACTTCCCAGATTACTGAGTTGGTTACAGTGTTTACTTCCTTTTTATTTATATATATATATATATACAGTGGGTACG